CCACCCACCCTTTGGATCCCATAACATTAGAAAACTATTTTTGTTTTTAACGGACCCAAAACCCGAAATCTAATCTAAGGCCCACAATAGGCCCTTTATGCTCTTAGGGCCCTAAACCCTACGGTTTAGAAGCCCCTATCGGTGAAGGCTCGGTTTTGGTCAAAAATGGTCAAAAATGGAGGGGCTACCCAGAACCGTCGATTTCAGTACTAAAACATCGCATTTTTAACTGGGACCCGGGCCGCTCCTGGGGTCCCCCTCATTTGGGGTGTTTTTGGAGGCAATCTTTCCCTTTCAAGGGGGGGTCGGAGTTTGAGGCAAGGGGGGGTCTTCGAAGACTATTTTGCCTTTAAAATTGAAAAATTAGACCCCCCCCTTGACCAAAACTAGGCCCTTCATCAGAATTGAGGGTTAAAAACCCTGAAATATCCTGAAAAACATTGAAAAACCTTGAAAAACACTGAAAAACTCTGAAAAACCTTGAAAAACCTTGAAAAAACTCAGGGAAAAGGAAAATCACCATTGCCCACTTTTGAGGCCCAAAGTCACCGTTGCCCACTTTTGAATTAGGGTTTAAATTCATTATGATAGAGAGGTTTAGGGTTGTGTTCATGGCCTGGGCCAATCAACCTGTGAGGAGAAGATGGCCCAAACTCTTGGGAACCTGAGCCCCAAGCCCTACACTCTAAGCCCTGAGCCCTAAACCCTAAGCCCTAAACCCTAAACCCTAAACCCTAAACCCTAAACCCTAAACCCTAAACCCTAAACCCTAAACCCTAAACCCTAAACCCCAAGCCCTACACCCTAAACCTCCTAGCTATGTCGTGATGCCCCAAAGTTCAAGTCAAGTCACATTGTCATCATCAGTGCCAAGCAAGGCATGCCTCGAAAAAAAAAAGTCTCAGTATGGGCCCTTAAAAGGGGACCCCGTATATACCCTTTTCAACCCAAGGGCCCATACATCAGAACCCTTTAAGGGGGTAAGGGACGATATTAAGGGACCATGTAACTACCCTTCGAAGAAGGCTTGGCTGTGTACACTACTGAGTATGGGTTTTAAGGGCTTGTGGATCTACTTGAGCGTGTGGTGGAGAGTGTTGGAGAGTGTTGGGCTTATGGCCCGCGGTAATTTCGGGCTTCAGGGTGCAGGGCGTTGCTGGGTTCTTAGGGCTTTTGGGGGTTTACATCCTGTGCTGGCAGGGTGCTCCAACTTGCTCTCCCACTTCTTCCCAAACTCTTTCCTGCGGAAGCGCGGAAGGATAATGCAAAGCCCTGACATTCCGACACCCCAGGGGTTTAGGGTTTAGGGTTTAGGGTTTCGGGTCTAGGGTCTAGGGTTTAATTAGGCAGCTTGACAAGCTCTAAGCCTACACCTTTTGTTCTCTTGCGACCCGGGCCGAGATCGGCTTGAAAGATGAGTTTAGGGTTTAGGGTTTCGGGTTCAGGGTTTAGGGGTTAGGGTTTAGGGTTTGCGGCTTAGAACCCAAATGCCAAGTTCCACCTCCCTGTTCAACCCCAACCCTACGGGTGATAATCACAAAGATGGTATGAAGGGGAATAAGGAGGGACTGCATAGCTGTCTGTCATTAGCTTGTGCAGAGTTTTCTATGTGAGTACATATCAACTTTCGAAGTGGTGCTTTTCTTTTTTTTGGGCATTGCTACTCGTTTTGTCTGCCGCTGGTGTGTGTTGCTATGGGCACTGGTGCCGGACACATACACAGTGCTTGCTTTGCACCTCGGTGCGGAGCACTGGTCTGTAACTTTAAGTTACCGGGCTTTCAAGCCTGTCGTGGCCTAAGCTGGGCGACTCTCGTGGACGCTGCTAGTTATAAGGAGGGACCCCTAGAAGGGACCATAAGCCCCTGTACATATATATATATATATAGAGAAGGAAGGACCCCTAGAAGGGACCTTCCCAAATGTAACCCCTACATAAACCCCGTACATATACCTCATAGAGTCCATCCTTCAGTTCCTTGACGGTAAGAAGATGAAGTGCTGTACCCCCCCCCCCCTACCGCCGCCCACAGGAACCGCAGGGGTGGAGGAGGCATGGGGTTAAAAAACCTAAACCCTAAACCGTAAACCGTAAACCCTAAACCCTAAACCCTAAACCCTAAACCCTAAACTGAGCTGTGCTTCAAACCCTATACTTACGAATAGGCTCCCTCATAAGGAAAGAAGGGAAATTAAGAATGATCCCGAAGCACAACTCTGTAAACCCCTAGCCCCCAAAACCCCTTAACGCCAACATCCAAAACCCTGCAATGTAGGGGTCGGAATAAATACCAACAATATTCCTTTATGATCCCATTAAAACTATACTCCAATTGCCCCCAAAGATATATTAAGCATTTAGGCCCCTACAGTAGCTTCACTCCCTGTCCCAGCCAACCTCACCAAGCGACCCCTCTCACGAAAACACGCGCCATTCTCCACCCTCACCCCAGCCCGAAACCCTAAAACCTAAACCCTAAACCCTAAACCCTAAGCCCTAAACCCTAAACCCAGGACGGGGTTCAAGGTTTATTAGGCTCCTCAGCTGCTTTCGCTCCCCCTTCACGAGGTTCTTCCGATGCTCAATGCGCTGATCCCAGAAGTCGAGCTGCTTGCCTTGGCAGTTCAGGGTTCTAACAATGATGGGGTTTTGGGGTTTAGGGTTTAGGGTTTAGGGTTTAGGGTGACCCAAGAGTAAGCTAGGAAATAAAAGGGCGCCCTTTTTGGTTTTAAAGGGGCTTGTAAGGGAACCCAAGCCCTAAAAGAAGAGAATGAGGGCCTACTCTGGGTCCTAGGGGTTCTAACCCCACAGTTCAGGCCTTCCACAGGGTTCAGGGTTCAGGGTGTACAGTTTATAGGGTGTTTTGGGTGTCGGGTTTAGGGTTTAGGGTCTGCCCCTAAACCCTAAACCCTAAACCCTAAACCCTAAACCCTAAACCCTAAACCCTAAACCCTAAACCCTAAACCCTAAACCCTCGGTGTTGGGGATCCAAACATTCAATCCTCGCCTTGTCGAAGACAGCTCGGTCTCAGTCACCCCCATCATCTTTCGGCGTCACTGGTGTGGACTCACTGGCGCTCCGATGCTGATAGAAACTCCTAAACCCTAAACCCTAAACCCCAGCATTTGCTTGAGAACCCCCCACCCCCGCCAAAGAAAAAGAGAATAAAAAGAAAACGAAAAAACCAAGCAAACGAAAATCAGAAACAATCCCTTTTTTCCCCTTATGAGGAGCTTGTCAGGCATGGTGTAGCCCCGAACCCTGAACCCTAAAACCTTGCATCTATATGAGGGTTTAGGGTTTCGGGTTTAGGGTTTAGGGCTATCTAACCCCCAGGCCACCACTGCAGGCTGCGGGAAAGAAAAGGCCATGAACCCAAAAGAGCCTCGGACTGGATTTAGGGTTTAGGGTTTAGGGTTTAGGGTTTAGGGTTTAGGGTTTAGGGTTTAGGGTTTAGGGTTTAGGGTTGAGGGTTGAGGGTTGAGAGTTGAGGGTTGAGGGTTGAGGGTTGAGGGTTGAGGGTGGGAGTGGGACCCTTCCCAGAATTACCCAGAGGGTCCAGTTCTAGTACTATTAGAATCAGGTCCCAAAAACCCTATTAAGGCTGGTTTGCGGGTACCTAATTCGAATGTCACAGTAGTACCACGCATGAACCCTAAACACTAAGCCCTAAACCCTAAACCTTAAACCCTAAACCCTAAGCCCTAAACCCCTCTAGGTTAGAAGATGATGTCAAAGAGCGCCGTCCACGTCAAAGGGTCACGAGCTTCCATAGAAACAAGTCTCGGAGAATGGCAAGCGAATGCCACCCTAAACCTAAACCCCAAACCCTAAACCCCAAACCCCAGAACCCCAGAACCCGAACCCTATACCATAAACCATCCGTGCGCGCGAAGACGCGAAGTATCCAACAGCTGGATGTCAAGGCGGTCTCTAAACCCCAAACCCTAAACCCTAAACCCTAACCCTAAACAATCCTAAACCCTAAACATGGGGCTTGAAACTTCCACTGACTTTCCGGTAGCCTAGGGAAAAGCAGGGTACCCTTTTCTTGTTTACTGGGGTTCCTGGGTTACCTGACCCCAGAAAACTAGGGGAATAAGGGTGTCACTGGGCATTCGCGCAGACACCATAGCATGCAAAAGAACCCTCGGATGCAGAACTTGTGCGTTGTTTAGGACTCTGGGTATGTGGTTTAGGGTCGCCAAGAAGGTCTAGTCTGACCAGTCTAGGGTTTAGGGTTTAGGGTTTAGGGTTTAGGGTTTAGGGTTTAGGGTTTAGGGTTTAGGGTTTAGGGTTTAGGGTTTAGGGTTTAGGGTTTAGGGTTTAGGGTTTAGGGTTTAGGGTTTAGGGTTTAGGGGGTGAACTTCTCAGGGTGGTGCTCAGGCGTCGATTCCTCTCCTGCAGGCTATCCAGCTCCTCGCGACAGCTCAGGGTTGAGGGTTCAGGTTTCCAGTGCTAAACCCTAAACCCTAAACCATAAAACCCTAAACCCTAAACCCTAAACCCAAAACCCAAAACCCAAAACCCTAAACCCAAGCCCTGGAAGCCCCACACCGCAAGCCTTGAACCGCCCTCCGCCCTGCAACCTCAGGTCGTATAGCCCCCTGAAAAACCCTAAACCCTAAACCCTAAACCCTAAACCCTAAACCCTAAACCCTGAACCCTGAACCCTGAACCCTAAAACCCTAAACCTTGCACAGTCCTTAAGGCTACTGCAGATGGATCATGTAAGTTCACCACCCCAAAACCCTAAACCCTCAACCCTACATCCTGAATTCCAACGGATCACCCTCATGTCCGCCATGGCCGATTCGATTTCCCTCCAGTACTTGGAGGTTCGCGGTACTTGTTAACCAATGTTAACCCTTAAGTGCCCCATAAAATGGTTATAAGTGCAGTTAGAAGTACAGTTGTAATGGGTTAAGAAGTACCATGAACCTCCAAGTAGAGCCCCACGCACCTTTATTCTGTGCCTAGACCTGGCAGGAAGCAAGCTTCAGCTGGCTCGGGCCTTCTCGAAAAACGTTGGAAGGGACATGCGCGGGTCCAGGTGGCCTAGCTGCGTGCCGTCACTGAGCACGATCTTGACCTGATAGTTTCGGAAACTTGGCCTGCTCGCGACACGGTGCTGAACATCCGCCAGCGTGTCCCCCTCTGTAAACTTGAAGCTAGCTGCTTCCTCGCCTGACATGGAGATCAGTGAGATCTTATACAACGCATCCACCTTCTGCACGTCCGCAGTGAACATCATCGTGTTCGGGCTCAGCGGCGTCCGCATGTCCCCGGCCGGCATGTGGAAAGGCGTATGTAAGTTCTCGACAGTAGCTTGCATGAAGCTCTGCGGGCGGGCTGTAGCTCCCTCACAGCGAAAGAGATGCAGCCTCTCTCGGTCAGCAAGCCAGCTCTGGAAATCATGCACACGGGCGTTATCCACGGGGAACTGCTTCGATCCGACACGCCACCTGCGTTCTCTGAATTCGAAGCAGCTGCCATAGATGATGTTCAAGTACCAGCTGGGCGTGCTTTCGTCGTCTTCGGTGTCTCTGCGTGCAATCAGCTGCGTTCTGGCCACGGCCATTATCTCATAGCTGTACCACGTTAGGCTGTCAGCAGGGGGTCGCAATGGGATGTCGCCTATGTTTTTGAGAAAGAACACACGGCCATCGCAAACAATGGACACCATATTTACCGCTGGCGCAGCACAGACGAAAAGCTCAGCACGCCCCAGAAGCAAACGCTTGCGGAAGTGCACGGATGCGTAGATCCGGAATGTCAGACGGACAGCAAGCCCACCAAAAAAGACAATCGCGACAGGGACCCAGCTGGCCCAGCAGTACCTGACACCTGTGGCAAGAACGAACCCGATGACTGAGATCACGCAGGCCAGGAGCTCGAGCCGAGGAAAATACCTTAGTTGTCCAGTATCCTAGGGGGACTAAAGGTTAACCTTTGGGTTTATAGAGGAATTATACTAGCCCAAAAAGGTTAAAGGTTACCTACTCTACTGCTAAGATACTGCCAGGCTGAAGTCCGGTGATCGATGAACTCGGTCGTGGCGAAATGCTGCCAAGTAGCTCCGGCCAAGGCCATGGGGTAGATTTGGCATCGCCCGGCATCCACTTCGCGCTGCATCTCCGCGTGAAGTCGCAACCGGACAATTGGGGGCAGTATCAGCCACGGGCTTAACACGTTGCAGAACATGAGAAACAGCAGGCCATAAAACCAATAATGGTGGTATACCTGTTCGGGGCACCACAGTTCTTGGAAAGCGTTGCCAGCAAGCAACAGCTCCGGCCCAACAGGGGGTGGATTCTCAGGGTAATAAACTTGGAGCATTTGGTCCAACACCAGGCCCACGTGGACTTTCTTGCCCACAGCACCCTCGCCTTAGTAGATCAGAAGCCCTCTTGAAATACGTTTACGGTTTTGTGTTGCTTACTTTACTTTCATAAGGGAACCCTGAACCCCCCCCCCCCCCCAAAAAAAAAAAGGGGTACCACTGGGCTATAAGGGAACCCCAAAAACCCCCAAAAAAAAGAAAAAAGGGGTACCGCTAAAACTGCCAAGTCACAGTCGGGATCGCAGTGCCTAGGTTGCCCAGTGTCCTAGGAATTAAAAAAGGGTGCCCCTTTGTTTGCTTAAAGGGGTTCATATAAGGGAACTCTACACCCCCCAACAAAAAAGGGAAAAAAGGGTAGTACTGGGCATCCTGGGTTCAGCCCCTGGTAACTTTGCGCAGCTCTCAGGGCCTCCAAGGAGCTCACCACGTGGAGCTCCCGGCCTTTTGTGCCTTCGAGCTCCTTCGTGGCTGGCTCTTCGAAGTCTCCGGTGAAACTGTCTTGCTACTCACGATCCTTAAAACGTAATCGTTTACATATCTATATACATATACATATATGTGTATGTATTTATATACGCATGCATATACATATATATATATATATATACATACACTTTTTGTATACATTAGATTTGTCCATAAGACTATTTCTATATTTATCACGAATCTACTACATTACATGTTCATATTGTTTCTAAATTGTTGTATTGCTATATTGTGTTATATTGTCAACTGTATATGGTGATATTGTTATGTCGTTTTATTGTTATATTGTTATATTGTTATCTTGTTATGATATATTGGTATGCTGTTATATTGATATGTTGCTATAACACTATATTGGTATATTATTGGGTTAGTACACTATTACACTAGGATCTTATTGATTAGCATATCATTATACTATTGCATGCTCATCTTAAGATTGCTGTTACTAGTATCTTATTCCATGATGTTCTTGTGTTGCTATATTCTTGAACTATTCTACTATTACTAGGCTCTTGTCTTTTATACTTTCCTTGTCTTATCACACCTTCGAAGCGAAATCGAACCAAATTGAAAATGGACAGTAAAACACATCCCAACAGCTTGCCTAGGTTCCTGCTGCCCACAGACAAAGCATGACACTATAGACCTCAGTAGCCCAGTAACCAGATTATAAAAAGGGCACCCTTTTTGGGGTTGGTTACTCTATAAGGGAAACCAGAACCCAAAAAAGGGTAAAGGGTACCACTGGGCTACCAAGGGACAATGCAACGACCAAGCACACGACCAGCGCGAAGGAGGCGAGGCAAGCTCGCGTAGCCTTGGGGAAGTGGAAGCGCTCAAGGAGCTCCCGGCCGGAGACTTCCATGATCCGCCGGACCTCTCACTTAGTTGTCCAGTATCCTAGGGGGACTAAAGGTTAACCTTTGGGATTATAGAGGAATTAGAATAGCCCAAAAAGGTTAAAGGTTACCTACTCTACTGCTAAGCTCCGGTCCTGCAAAGGTGAAGAAGCTGGTGCCTGCGCCCGGAGGAAGAAGCCGTGCTCAGATATTGCACAAACAAAGGGACCAACTGTGGGGCTCGAGCCCCCGGCCTTGCGGATGTGCTTTATCATAGAAATGCTGTGATTCTGCGAGATCTGGGCACATGGACCACTCAGTGCACACCTCCTGTATATATGAAACAGGGTTTATATTACTGTTTTTGGTGAGTGAATATAAGGTCCCTTTATAATATTGGTGAGTGTATATAGCTGGTGTCCTTTTGGGGGTACAAGAAATATATACCCTACTTCATATGAGTCTCGGAATCCCATAGCTTCTTCAGCTCAGCTGGAAGGACAAGCAGCCTCTGCCACCAAAGAAAAGCACCAAACCGGCAACATCAAGCGCCGTCTAAGTTCTGATGCTCTGCTACCCAGAGCCCTGAAACCCTATGCTACTATTGGGTCATTCTTAGGAACCCTTAAAGGGATCTACTTTTGGGATCCTCCCAGGGGTCTGGGTATTTTCACAGCCAGGGTGTTGATGACTTCTTCCTGCGAAGGGCTTTAACAACTTTACAACTTTTGGGTTTAGTCTCGTGGTTTGGGGTTAGGCTTTCGGGTGTAGGCTTAGGGCTTCATGAGAATGCCATGCTCGAGGAAACTCGCAGCCAACTGCCAGCGTGCTCAGGCTCTAGAACTTTTCATTTGTAAGCAGGTATTAGTGGGGCTTTGGGCTTGGGATGTATCTTGATTCTGCACGCTAAATCAAGATCCTTGAGCCCTGAATGGCCAAGCTCTGAGCTGGCCGAAACCCTAAACCCTAAATCCTAAACCCTAAACCCTAAAGACCCTCCCCTCCCTTCTGACGGGGGCCTTGACCCTGCGTGCCGTCCGCTCCTGGCTGCAGAACTATAAGAAGGGCTGGGACAAGGCGCAAAGGCCTATACACCGCGGCTTAGGTTTAGGGGTTTAGGGTTCAGGGTTCAGGGTTAGGGTTTAGGGATCAGTCCGTCATATTACATAAAGCTACTACATATCATACACCCTTAAGCCAACATGCACATGAACCCTGAATCCTCCCCCCTGCACCCAAATGGGGTTTAGGGTTCAGCGTTTAGGGCTTCTCGAAAGGCAGTTACACGGTCCCTGAAAAAATGGGCCCTGAAAAAATACCCCTTATATGCCCCCTATATGCCCTATGCAAATTAAGGGCACCCTTTAAAGGCGGTAAGGGACCAAATTAAGGGCCCATGAACTACCCTAACCCTAAACACTAAACCCTAAACCCTAGATCCTGAACCGTAAATCCTCCACCCTAAACCCTAAACTCTCCACCCTCCATCCTAAACCCTAAACCCTAAACCCAAAACCCTAAACCCTAAACCTGAAGGGCGCATGTAACTACCCCTAGATGCTATTGGACCACGAGCATCCCAAGCGGTACTGTAAACACCTTCCAAGAGCCTCTCAATAAGCCAGCAGTGCACACCTACAGGACCTATAGACCTCAATCCTGTTCACCCCTTGCAGTAAACCCTGAACCCTGAACCCTGAACTCTGAACCCTAAACCCTAAACCCTAAACCCTAAACCCTAAACCCTAAACCCTAAACCCTAAACCCTAAACCCTGACCCGGAGACCCTGCACCCAAATTTACCAAGGCGCCCCTCACACAACCTCTCAGCCCTGCAGTTCCTGCTACAGTCGGAGTATCCACATGGGCAATCCCTAAACCCTAAACCCTTTCGGAGCTCCTAGCCTTTCAAAGCCCTGAACGCGAAACTTTGGGATGTTCCCCCTTATACAACCTGTCCTTAATAGCGAGTATCATAGGGGGCTTAGGGATCATCAGGGGGGAACATCCCGAAGGAAACTTCTAAAGTCAGCAGGCAGGGGCCGCTACCCTCAAAGTCCTCAAGCCCTGGGATGTTTAGGATTTAGGCTTCGGACTCCCCCCCCCCCCCCCCCCCCCCCCCCCCCAAACCCTAAACCCTCAACTCTAAGCCCTACGATGCGGTTCAACTCCCCCCCTCCCCCCAACCCTAAACCCTAAACCCTAAACCCTAAACCCTAAACCCTAAACCCTAAACCCTAAACCCTAAACCCTAAACCCTATAGGGTTTAGGGTTCATGGTTTAGGGCTTACCCCTCCGGCCCCTAGGCCTCGACGGTTTCTGGTGCGGCGTTGAGGCGCATGTCCTGTGCCAGACCCGCCTCCAGGGGCGACGTGAAGTTCAGGGGCCCAGAGGGTTTAGGGTTTAGGGTTTAGGGTTAAGGGTTTAGGGTTTAGGGTTTAGGGTTTAGGGTTTAGGGTTTAGGGTTTAGGGTTTAGGGTTTGGAAAAGTTCAGGGGTTTGGGTCTATGGGTTTCGAGCGTTTAGGGGTGCTCAGGGTAGCCTTTCGGGAGGCTTTTAAGGGGGGCGTTTAGGGGGGGACTTCTAGCGGGGCTTAGGGATTTAGGTGGTCGGGTGGTTGAGGGGCTCTTATGGTGGGTCTAGGGGGGGCTTCTTCCTGTCTTTTGCATGCGTCACGTAGCCCTTTGGTCTCCTGCTTCGTGCTTCTTGCGGTTCAAGCTTCAGGGTTTAGGGTTTGGGGTTTAGCGTTGCCATAGTAAGGAAGCCCGTTTACTTGCTGCTTCTTATCGCTGTCATGGCAAGCCAGGTCATAAGCTGCGTATATAGGGGCCTGAATAATTAGAACAGGGTTTTGGGGTTATTGTAGTATAAAGAGACCCTAAGGGAATACTACTCGTACTGGTACTTATTCCGACCCCTGTATTACCTTGTCTCACGCAGATCCAGATCAAGCCCAATATGTGGAGTGGGATCCATACAGGCACGACTACTAGAGGGGCCTTAATGATTAGAAAAAGGTTTTGGGAGGTTCGTAATTCTTCCGACCCCTATACTAGCTCTTTGGACTTCAGCTTCGTTTGCTAGTTGGGCCCCTGTAAGGGGCCCCCTGTAAAAATGTTGAGGGTTTAGGGTTCCCTAAAGGGGAGAGTGCGTAAAGAAAACAAAAATTAAAGCCCCCCACGCCCCCCCCGCCGATGGTCCATTCCACAATTCCTCTACAATTTTTGGTAGGATTCCTATTTTTTGAATAGGAATCCAATTAATTTCAAGAGGATTTTATTAATTTCGTAAGATTTCAATTCAGTTTTTTCATTGCATTTCAATTCAACCCTAATGGGGGTTTGAATTACTTTTTCTAATCGGATTTCTACTAATTTTGATAGCAGTTCAATTTATTGTAATAGGAGTTGAACTTAATTCTAAACGGATTTCTATTATTAGAATAGAACTCCCATCAAAACTAATACAAATCTTATTACAAATCTTTCTAAATTCACAAAAATTCTAACCCGATTAGAACGAAAAGAAATCCTTTTGCAACTAATTGAAACCCTATTAAAAATACCTATGTATTAAAAGAAATTCAAGCGCCATTAGTAGAAACTAGAAACCCTTGCACCCTACTAAAAAAAATCCACAGTTTGTATTTTCTAACTTCTATTAAAAGTAAACCGAAATCTGATTAAAATTGATAAAGGGGGGGCGGCGGCGGGGGGGGGGGGGGGGGGGGGGGGGGGCTGGCTTATGTTCCCGCAGGCCGCAATGGCACGCACTGTCCCAAACCCTAAACCCTAAACCCCAAAACCCTAAACCCTAAACCCCAAAACCCAAAACCCTAAACCCTAAACCCAATGTGCAAGGGACCCGGGCCTGCTCCAGAAGCTTGTTGAGGAGACCCAGCTTTGCGTTTCGCTGCTGCAGGAGCCTCTTAAGGCTTGACACCCTAAACCCTAAACCCTAAACCCTAAACCCTAAACCCTAAACCCTAAACCCTAAACCCTAAACCGAGGGGGCATGGTCTCGCGTTTGGGTGGGTTTGGGTTCCCAAAATTACTCATTTAGCTCTCAAAACCAGGTTTTCTGGGTCTCTGTGTAGCACGGCACCTTGCGCACAGGACTCCAAAAGGGACTCGAGTTTAGAGAACTACCGAGCTAACTATCCTTAGTTGTCCAGTATCCTAGGGGGACTAAAGGTTAACCTTTGGGTTTATAGAGGAATTATAATAGCCCAAAAAGGTGAAAGGTTACCTACTCTACTGCTAAGTATCTAAATAGACATACCCTACCGGGGCCGCACCTCTTCTTCTTCCTTCCCTCCGACTTGATGAGTGAGTGCACCTGGTCCGCATCGCGAGGAGTGCCCTACAATGCAAGGGACCTTCAAAATCGCGAACCCTGAAACCCTAAACACTAGACCTGAACCCGAAACCTGAAACCCAAAACCCTACACAACGGGATCGCATGACCCCTAAGGCTTTAGACCACAAATTTCCGTATGACGATTTTAGGGTTTCCAGGGTCCGGATTTTAGGGGTTCAGGGTTCAGGGTCTACTGTACAGCCTCGGGGATGAGAAGGCTTATTTCTTAGGTAGGTTTATGGCCTTTTAGGGTTTTGGAGGCGTGCCCTGCCGGCATGCGCTTCCTCTTCAAACCAAACGAGCATGCCACTGCTGCCATCGCTCGAGCCGTGTCGTCTGAATCGCTTCAGGGGAACAGGATTAAGTTTTGTTCTCGCAACTTGAGGCGGGGGGGGGGGGGTTCTAGGGTATGGGTCGATGTTCCCCCTTTGGGATTGTTGCATCTTGAAAGGATTTATAGGGCAGGGATGTTCCGTTCCCGATTTTGTCTAACAGTCCTTAGCAGGGATTATCGTACCCCCTATTAGAATCCCGATTAAGGACTGTTCTTATAAGGGAACATTGCTTGTAGGACTGCCGGGGATCAGTCTTTGCTGCTCTGGCATGGCTTAAGAAAGGGATTTCTTAAGCTCACCGAGATCCCAGAGATACGCATCTTGGAACAGCCACACTGGCCCCATGCTGTCCAGCACGGCCACCCGGGACGCATGGATGCGAAGCAGCGCATGACGTGCATCTTCTGCCTGCTCCTCGCATGCCACCACCACTACCCAGCTCCCATCCGGGACGGCCAAGTTCAGATCTCGAGATCCGGAGCGGTGTGTCGTCGGCCCTGGTGTACCTCATGTCGCTTAGCTCCATGCTCGTGGGTTGTGGGCTTGCTGTAGCAATCCCTCCAAGCTGAAGCCTAAACCTCAAAAACCCTCAAACCCTAATAACCCCACCGCCGAAACCTAAACCCTAAACCCTAAACTTCGTCTGAACCCTTAAACACTCCACCAAGAAGACCCTCAGACCCCCTGAGGCACACGAAAAACCACTGGAGAAAATTTTGAAGCTAAAAAGACCCCTGAACCCTCGGCTGCTGGATCCAAAAAAACAAAAAGGATCAAAAACAACATAAGCAACCGAGAGTTAGGGCTTAGGGCTTCTTAGGGTTTAGGGTAGAGTTTGGGGCTTAGGTTTAGGGTTTGGGGTTTATGGGTTTAGGGCAGGGTTTAGGGTGCAGGGTACAAGGTGCATGGTGTAGGGTGCATGGTGTACGGTGTGGGGTGTAGGGTTTACGGTTTAGGGGTCAGTTTAGGGTTCATTTTTTATTGATCCCTGGCAGTTTTTTGCGATCCTTTCTTTATGTTGCCTGATCTCTATCCCCTGAACCCTCAACCTTAAGACCCTCAAAAAGAATTAAAGACCTAACCCTAAGCGATTTCACCTTGAGAGTCTTCGGGTGGGTATTCCTAAACCCTAAACCCTAAACCCTAAACCCTAACCCTAAACCCTAAACCCTAAACCCTGAATCCTCCCAATGGGTCCAAGCCTTCGCCTCCTTGGATGTTGGGCCCTGCGCGCAAGCACAACTCTCGGCTCTGGCAAAGGCTCGTTTACGAAGGCTTTCGGGTTTAGGGTTTAGGGCCAGGTCCCTAAACCCTAAACCCTAAACCCTAAACCCCAAACCCGAAACCCTAAACCCTATCCCTACATAAACCCTTTCTTCGAAGCCGCTAAGCCCTGAACACACTGTTTGGGGCTGATCTAGTTTTATGGGGGGACCTTCTGTGAGAGTCTCCGTTTTATAAAGGCAAATCGAGACAACCATGCGTGGGTATGTGAATTTAATGCATACGAGCGACTGGATTGCCAAAACCGGCTGGCGGTGCTAGTGGACGCAACATGAGGGGTCTCGCTTTTCAAGTGTTCCCATCGCTTTGCAGGGTTTTGGCGTTGGTCGTCCACGCTTGATGTCTGCAGGTGTGGCTTTGGGAAAATTTTAAGGCAATCGCCCACCCAACGGCTGATTAATTTAGGGTTGTCGCTGTTCAGGTGTTTCCATCGCTGCACATGGTTTGGGGCATTCGTGTCTACCCTTGCTTACTTGAATGGCTGGGGGCTTTCGCGCTTGCTCATAAGCTCATATGGGCTTGCCCAGAATCGGGTCCCCCCAGCCTTAAACCCGAGTTTTTTTGAAACCACCACTGCAATTCCTTACGGCTGAGGGAACCAGAATTTAGGCTTTGGGGTTGAGGGTTTTAGGGTTCGGATAGGGACGCCTCCTCCTCCACCGAGACTTGTCGCGAGGGATCCGGCGTTGCAGAGGGATCCGGCGTGGCAGCACCTTAAGGAATCATGGGTAGGGTTTAGGGTTTAGGGTTTAGGGTTTTGGGTTTTGGGTTTATTACTCCTACTCTGTACTACCACCCCCCTAGGTTCCCACCTTAAATAACATAAATGAAGCTTACTTATCCTTAAATAGCCTGAATTCTGGGGGGAAACCCAGGGGGGGTAGTATAGAGGGGGGTAGTAGGGGAACACCTGAAGTAAGTTGACCCAGACCTCAACCCTCGAAGGGGTGCAGGGCTTAGATTCTTTGGGGTTTCTAGGGCTTTGGGTTTTTCGCTTTAGGGTTTATCAGGTTTGGTTTTTTCAGGTTCAGGTTGGGATGTTCCCCCCTATACTAACAGTCCTTAACAGGGATCATAGTACCCCCCCCCCCCCCCCCCCCCCCCCCAAGATTATCCCTACCAAGGACTGTTAGCACAAGGGGAACATCCCAAGGTTTCTAGGGCTTTTAAAGGGTTAAGAAATTTTTCGGGACGTCTCGCCACGCATCTGCAGCGACTGGCAGGTGAAAATGGTGCCAACCGGTGCTCGGTCGCGCGTGTCGCCCCCCCCACCCCGTCCCTCCCGCGGCCGCAGCGCCACGGTGGGTTCAGGCAGTGCTGTAAGTACTTATAGGGTTCTAGGGTTTGGGGTTTGGGGTTTAGGGTTTGGGGTTTGTTACGAGGTTTATAGTATCTGGGAGCATCCGGCAGGATACCATGGCCCCACGACAACCCATGTGCAGGAGCGTTGGTCGGTGCAGCAGATCCCTGAGAGCTGCTCCGAACTCAGGTCGCTGGGCTTACTTGGAGGTTCATGGTACCCATTAACCAATTTCTATCTGTACTTGTAATCCGCTTAAGCCCTTTAAATGGCCTAATATTGTTAGAAGTACAGTTATCATGGGGTCGCTGGGTTTAGAGATTCTTCATCATAGGTGAGATGCTGGGGGGCTTCCGACATTAGGGTATCAAAGGGGCCCTATTTTGGGAAGTACCCATTTGGGGTTTAGGGTTTTGGGTGAAACGCTGAACCCTATAGACCCTAAACTCCCAAACCCGAAGCCCGAAACAAGAAACCCTACACCCTAAACCCTAAGCCCTAAGACCTAGGCAGAGTCCAGCACCTGCAACTGGTGGCTAGGGGCAACTCTTTCGGTCTAATATAGGGACCTTAATGCATAGAACCAGGGTTTTGGGGGTTTTTGTAGTATAGTTAGGAAGGTTGGAGTCCCCAGGCCCCGATCATGAACCCAAAACCTGCCAGGGTTTAGGGTGTAGGGTTTAGGGTTTAGGGTTTAGGGTTTAGGGTGATTCCCCAAACCTACTTTAAGCCAAGACCTGCCCCCAATTGACGCCATCAAAAACCCTAAACCTGAAGCCCTAAGCCCCAAGCCCTAAGCCCGAAGCCCCAAGACCTAAGCCCTAAGCCCTAACCCTTCTTGGTTGAGGAGGTTTAGAAGGTGGAATCCTGAGGCAAGGCTTCTTTCGTGTAGTCTCTGAAACTCAGACCAACACCCTTGACTTAGGAGAGTAGCTATGAATTGAGTTTTTAGCTGCCTTACTAGGAAGCCCAATAGACCCAAAAAGGCTCAAGATCTAAAGTTACAGTAAAGCACCACAAGGAACCTAGATCCTAAACCATGAATCCCAAAGGCCGCGCTGTCCCTACTAAAACCCCTTCAGGTGTTGGGATTAAATTAGGGCTTGTTTAGGGTTTAGGGTTTAGGGTTTAGGGTTTAGGGTTTAGGGCTTAGGGTTTAGGGTTTGGGGTAAACCGCGCTCGGCCTGCGTCCTCCAGCGCGTTCAAGTCCAAGTTCCGTGGCGTGTCGAATCCCGGCCGCGAAAGGGTGACCTCCCACAGCTCTTCCACAATAGCATGAGTAGTCTTAGTAGGTCTCGGTTTTAGGGGTTAGGGTTCAGGGTTCAGGATTCAGGGTTTAGGGTTTAGGGTTTAGGGTTTAGGGTAAGAGAACCTGAGCCCGAGAAAGGGAATAGGGGCACTGTGAGGCATGCTAGCCTTTCAACCTCACGAGTTGGCTTTTTGCGAAGGATTTCAGCACTCAAAATCCATTCACAGTTTTCTGCAATCTTGACATGCTAAGACCGCAACCGCCAAACTCTAAACTTCCAAGCCCTAACCCCAAAGTCCCCCAAAGAGACATGATGCAGGGGCCTGTTTACTCAGAAAGGTGCTTTGGGTAGCTACTATTGCAACTATATATTACCTTTGATAAACCCCAAAACAGACATCCTTACTATAGGAAGCCCCAAAAGGGTATCCCTGTTTTTGGCAACCCCCCGCCCCATATGAGGGTGAGAATTGCAACTATATATAGGGTGAGAATCCCTCAACCCTAAACCCTAACCCCTATACCCTAAACTCTAAGCCCTAAAGCCTAATGATGGGGCCGATCTTGCTAAGACATGTCTCGGGGCTTTACCCCCTACTTTGGAGAAGACCCTGGGAAAAAAGTGTATACTGTTTAGGTATAAGTAGCTCTATGTAATCGGGGGTTTAGGTTTAGGGTTTAGGGTTTAGGGTTTAGGGTTTAGGGTTTAGGGTTTAGGGTTTAGGGTTTAGGACAAAAAAAGTATTCAAGTATAGTACTCCCTAAACCAGTCGCCTGCATGCCCGAAGTGTTGGACACCGTTCTTCCTGCCAGGAGGGTGCGGCGCTTGTTAGGGTTTAGGGTTTAGGGTTTAGGGTTTAGGGTTTAGGGTTTAGGGTTTAGGGCTTGGGGTTTGGGGTTTGGGGTTCGGGCTCAGGGTCTGGGGTTTTGGGGTTTAGGGACGGACGCTCGGATGCGTTCATCACTGTTGCGCAGGACAAAAAATATAACCGCACCTACAGGCTACAACCAAAAATCTGTCAACACCTTCGCCAGCCCCCAAAGTCCCGAATGCAAGGCACTCCTTCCCGGCATGCATACTGAACTTTGGTTGTTGTGTAACATCGCCAATGCAATCGGTTACAGTAAGTTCGACTCATCACAATACCAGGAATTCAGTCGAAATGTCTAAATGTCAACTGCTTCGCCTTACTTTATTCTGAACAAGTTATCACAATGCAGGTCCAGGTTGACTTGAGGGTGTATGAAAAGAGAGACGTACTTTAATTAGACGACGATAGCAATAGCGAAAGACAGTGCAGCAGCATTCTTCGTAAAATGCTACTTATAATTGCAGCATGACCAAACTTGAACAAGAACTTACATGCAGCACAAAAAATATTCCAAACAAGCATCTAGCTTACTAAGCCTTAATAAAAAAAGGAAGTCTCACACTGGGCGACAGCATTCTTGCCATGACGTGTAGGTCGAGTCTGAAACGAGCACAGTAGCCCAAACCCCCCCCCCCGCCCCAACACCCGAGCCTATCCTGAGACCTCAACCTAAACGTAGACCCTAAAGCCAACACCCTAGACACTAAAAAAAAAACCACATCGGAGGCTTCCTCCCCCACCTTGCACTCACCCAGACAAACACATGCGACCACAGCAATGCCACCCTAAACCCTAAACCCTAAACCCTAAACCCTAAACCCTGAACCCTGAACCCTGAACCCTAAACCCCTAAACCCTAAACCCCTAAACCCTAAACCCTAAGGCCCTAAACCCTGTGTTGGGACAAAACGATCCGGGACTCCTGGTGCAACCGCCGACTCGGCCTGTCGCTGCAGATCCAACCTCAGGGTTTTGGGGGGTTTCAGGGTTAGGGTTTAGGGTTTAGGGTTTAGGGTTTAGGGTTTAGGGTTTAGGGTTTAGGGTTTAGGGTTTAGGGTTTAGGGTTTAGGGTTTAGGGTTTAGGGTTTAGGGTTTAGGGTTTAGGGTTTAGAGTTTAGGGTTTAAGGTTTAGGGTTTAAGGTTTAGGGTCTAGGGCTTGGGGTTTAGGGTTTGGGGTTTAGGGTTTGGGGTTTAGGGTTTGGAGACCTCGGCTTCCGCACGTTCAGGAGTTGAGGCGTAGGTGGGGCTTAGGGGGCTTAGCGTGATTCTTAGGGTATACCTGCATGGTCCCTTAGTATGCGCCCTTAAAAAGGGACCCCCCTATATGAAGTAGGGTATATATTTCTTGTACTGCGGACCGGAGGTCGTGAATCATATCAAGGTGAGACAGCTTAGGTTTGTACTAAGCACGGTTAGCAAGCACACAACATCAGTGGTCGAGAACGTGAATTAACTGATCAATGGTGAAGCTTCGCAAGGATAGATGAGATAGGGTATATATTTCTTGTACCCCCAAAAGGACACCCAAGGTATACACTCACCAACTTTTAAAAAGGAACCTTATATACACTCACCAATAAGAGTAATATAAACCCTGCTTCATATACGCCCTACATACCGCATACAACCCAAGTGTCCAGACTTCAGAACCCTTTGAAGGATGTAAGGGAAGCTTGGCCATGGGATCCTCCCAGCTGTGCCTGAGGCCCAGTGGGAAACCATGAACATCCTGTTGAAAAGCCTTGGCCACAAGACCTCCCGAAGCTGGGTATCCCCCCCCACCGCTCCCCAATCTATAAACCCGAAACTTTCAACCCTAAACCCTGCAACCCAAACCCAAAACCCTAAACCCTAAACCCCCAACCCTCAACCCTAAACTTTCAACCCTAAACCTGGAACCCGAAACCCTAAACCCTCAACCCTAAATATGCGCTGAGCGGCAACGCCTTGACCTGCATTTGCGGCGTTCGAGCTCGAGCAGGTAGAGCTTAGACCCAGAGAGCCCAAACACCCTGTAAATTAAGGAATATACCCCTACATCAGAATATGAAGCCCCTAATATACCTTAAATAATAGTATGAAGCTCCTAATATACCCCTAAATCATAGTATTAAGCCCCTTGTAATTTCCTTGATTTAGGGGATCTCTGGGTAGGCTTTTGACTCGCACTTGCGGAAGGTTGTCGGTGGGCCCTAAACCTGAACTCTCAACCCCACAAACCTTTGCGGCGGCCAGTTAAGGGGTTCGCTTTGTTCTTCTGCGAGGGGTTTGGGTCCCCTCCGCTCCGAAGGTACGAACCCCTGAACCTAAACCCTAACCCCCAAACCCTAAACCCCAAATCCTAAAACTTTGAGGCACCCTGACTCTCAAGCTGAACATCCACGTCCCACGTTGCTCTGGCCCCGAGTTCCCCCCTCCCCTCTCTGCCTGGCGCAAGGGTTGAGGGTTCAATTTGGAGGTATTTCGCGGTCTAAAGAACCCTAAACCCTAAACCCTGAACCCTGAACCCTGAACCCTGAACCCTGAACCCTAAACCCTAAACCCAACGGTTTCAGGGCTACAAGGTTTCCGTCAGCGGCCTTCTCTATCTCCCGCGTGAGCTTCTCAATCTCCTGCCCGCAACTGGACAGCATCCAAACCCTGCTGGTACCCTAATCCTGCACCCTACTTAAACTTGAGATATGCTATTTGGTGAGGCCAGTTGATGGCAAACCCCCACTTGGAGGTTCATGGTACTTATTCACCAAGTATAACTGTACTTACAACCCACTTATGAGCCCCTTAAGTGCCCTAATATGCTTATAAGTACAGTTCTAAGTACAGTTATAATTGGTCAGGAAACACCGTGAACCTCCAAGCAACCAACCAAAAGACAAGACCCCCCGGCGCTTTCCGCCAGCGTGGTCGAGGCGTGCGACGGGCCGCGTTGAACATTAAACGTTCCTAAACCCTCAGCCCTAAGCCCTAACTAAACCCTAAACCCAGAAGCCTGAACCCGAAACCCTAAACCCTCCTCCAAGAAAGCCATTTTCTCTGGCACCATGTTCGGTTGAGCTAGGCTTCGTACCTGCTGGGGTCTCCCCCTGGTTCTTAGTAGGGAATGAGGGAATTGAGGCCCTATATTATACCAATTTGCGGGGTTGTTAGGGTTGGGGCTTGGGGTTTCGGGTTTAGGGCTTAAGAGGTTGAAGTTTCGGGTTTAGGCATTCCCTCATTCCCTACTAAAGACCACCCAGCCTCTTTTAGGATGTAGGGATTTAGTTCGGGTTTCGGAAGTTGAGGGTTTAGGGGTTCAGTTTCATACAGGCAACCCAGGGCCCTGTCAAGAAGCGAAACACAAGGTGCCAGAACCCTCAACCCTGTCAACCCTATCAACCCTATGAACCCTCTAAACCCTGTAAACCCTATAAACCCTATCAACCCTATAAACACTCTACACCCTGTAAACCCTACAAACCCTGTAAACCCCATAAACCCTATAAACCCTATCTACCCTATCAACCCTATACATATGAACCCCCTAAACCCAAAACCCATGTGAAGCTCTTCCGGGGGGGGGGGGGTGGGGGGTTGTTGCTTGAGGCTTTGGAGGATGCACCCTCAACTCCGATACACTTGCTGAACATACACCCGAGACCCTAAGCAAAAGACCCAAAGAGGAGGATTCTGAAGCCTCCTGAAGAGGAACCTCGGACGCAGACCCAAAGGCACGTGAAGAATCTTCATGCTCCAAACCTAGGGCCTAGGGGGATCGTGAACACGAGAAGGGCTTGTCGCTTTGGGTGGTCCTCCTCAGCCTTATCGCTGTTTTTCTGCACCTTGGCGGTAGGCAGTGGGAGTGTAGGCTGTCCGGAGACACTGACCAGCCATCAACTGCCCGAAGCCTCTAGCCCCGAAGCCGGAAAATATCGAGGGCAGGTGGGGGGGTATTTCCCAACATGGGGGCTCCCTTAGGAAACCCCCAATCTACTACAATCCTTCTTACAGGAGCCCCCTAAGAAGGGCACCCCTATTTTTGCGGAACACCAACTGCGACCCCAAGAAGCGTGACGCAAGGAGCCCTCGCCCGGACCAACTTCCAACTTCCCTGCCCTGAGCCATTCTTCAGAACCTAAGCTGCTAAGGTTTGGGGTTCAAGCTTTGGGGTCCTAACCCCTGAACCCTGAACCCTAAACCCTAAACCCTAAACCCTGGTGTTCGGGGTTTGGGACAAAGGGCTTAAACCCCACAGCCCTGCGGCCTCAACCCAACGCTCCCGGCCTCCAGGATCTCAGATGCCTGCTCACACTTTGCCTTCAACCTGCACAAGGAGGACAGTGATACAAGGCCTTGGGTTTAGGGTTTAGGGTTTAGGGTTGAGGGGTTTAGGTTCGGGGCTTGCAGCGTTTGGGGGTCGAGGGTTTGGGCTTTGCAGCGTTTGGGGGTTTAGTTTCGGGTCTGGGGCTCGGAAGGGGCGAGGGCTCAAGGGATTGCAGGGTTTTGAAGTTTTGGGCCTTCGCAACACTGAGAACCCTTGACTTTTAAACCCCCAACGAAACGACAAAAACGTTAAATGGAGCCCTGTAGACCCCACAAGACGAACTTACGAGCAGTACCACCACCATCTTGTCCTCAGAAGGGACCCTCATCTAGAGAACTACCCATGTGAAAGCAAAGGACCAACGCCTGTGAAATTTCAGTATCCTGCTGGGAGGCGATTTACAGATTAGGCGTTTATCGGGCGTGCTGTACTCCTCTGTCTGTGCACATGCCTCTGACCGCGTGTGATTTACGGATTGGGGGTTAGGGCCACCAGTTGAACAAGGACTTGTTTATAAGTTGGGACGTTCTCCCGCATACGAACAGTCCTTAGTAGGGATTCTCGTACCCCCTAGTTTAATCCCTATTCAGGACTGGTAGTATAAGGGAAAACATCCCTATACATAAGGGTTACAGGGTGAGCCCATGCAAAAGCACCATAAAACCCAGGCGTTCTATCTGATGGCGCGTGAGGTCACAGGCATGCGAATTCGCCGGCGGTTCATGCGAGGAAGAATCAGCGCATGGGGCGGATTCTGAGCGACGCCGAAGTCCCGAAGCGCTCCGGCAGCGGGAACAGTGTGGAGAGCCGCCGAAAATGGCGGCTACGCATCCAGAACGTCGGCGTCATCAAAGCCTTACTTCTCCAATAGCCATGGACATAGAAACATGCCGGACTGAATATATAAGGCCCTACTAAACCAATCAGGAACTCCAACAAAAAGCGGAGTCTAAAGTTTTCACTACTGGCTATATGTAAGAAGCGGACATTTGCCTCGTTTTCCTCGGAGGCCTGCTCCAGGAGATTCGCCCAGGATTTGCAGTAACACTGGTGGATGCAATTGACCCAATGCAAACACTGAGGCCCATTGCCCCACTTCTCGCAGATGTAGCCCTTGTTGCAGGGCTGGCCATTGTACTCGTTGGAGGCATCGCACTTCACATACTGCTTGCACTTGGTGCTGGTGGCAGTCTCTGCAACTTCAGTCGTCGGGTGTTCGATGTCTTCATCCTGGAAGCGGACCTCGACATTCTCGAGTCTGCTGATCTCACCGCCCTGCTCAAGTAGCTGCGCCCAGTTGGCGCAGTAGCCTGGGTTGCTGTTCAGGAACATACACTCAGTTTCCCATAATAAGGGAAACAAGTTCTTGCTTGTGTATACCCACGTGTTGGGGAAGCTTTGGTTTTTGTGTCTCTTGACAGCAAAACCGAGTCGCATGAACGAGCACAGTTGACCCAGTGAAGGCAGGTACGGGTGGGAGCACTGAAGGTCTTGCTGCAGTAGTAGCCCTTCTCACCTTGGTAGCTCAGTAACCACATTCTAAACCCCAAACCCTAAGCCCCCTTGTTTTAAGCCCTAAACCCTAAGCGCTAAAACCCCCTTTTTTTTTTGGGGGGGGGGGAAAAATAAAAATAAAAAAACAAAAAAAGTAAGAAAGGGCGTTCCTGGGCTACCCAGTCACACGGCTGTCCCTGGTGTTTGTCCGAGGCATCGCACTTTACCTGCGTCTCTCATGGCTGGCGGGAGGGGGGTTCACAAGAGGTTTAGGGTTTAGGGGTTTAGGGGTTTAGGGGTTTGGGGGTTTAGGGGATTGGGGGTTTAGGGGTCTAGGGGTTTAGGGGTTTAGGGGTTTAGGGGTCTAGGGGTTTAGGGGTTTAGGGGTCTAGGGGTTTAGGGGTTTAGGGGTTTAGGGGTTTAGGGGTTTAGGGGTTTAGGGGTTTAGGGGTTTAGGGGTTTAGGGCTTAGGCGTAAGTTCCGTAGCGACATCCACGCCCTTTTTTGGTCGGGAAGACCCTGGTCATAGAGCATGGCTTTCCTGGCTCCTAGGCAGGACAAGGGGGACCCTTGAAAGGGAGCCCTTCTTAACCTTCTTCTGGCTCTCTTGAACAGGGACCTTCTTCAGAGGGTCTATAGCCCCAAGGGTCCCCCTAATCCTATCCCCGACTGGCCCACTTCCGGCGACAGCACGCGGAGCCGTGGGAGTGGCAAAGGCCCTGTCATGACCCTCTACTCTCCCGTCCCCCCCATATGGGTGGTTGTCGAAATGATGGTCCCAATTTTGGATCCCTACTACAATACGGCACCTAATATTTAGGGTGCCTATCAAGCCGGCTCACTTCCGCCAAGAAACGAACAAAAGAGAAAAGAGACGAACAAAGCAACAAACAGCAGCTCAGATTGCGCTTATGTCCACCCGCATCCTTGACTTCTTAATATGAAGGGCAGCAACCTCACCACGTCCCCACAAAAAAAACCCTTGAGAAGCCGAGGCGCATAGTGTTTACAGTGGGCCGTGTTGCTCTTCTGGTGGGCCGTGCTGTTCTTTCGCAACTCTGCTGCCGCTATCCGTCCGTGCGCCCTTCAGTCCCGCATGCTCTAAACCCTAAACCCTAAACCCTACACCCTAAACCCTAAACCCTAAGCCCTAAACCCTAAACCCTAAACCCTAAATCCTAAACCCTAAACCCTAACCCTAAACACCCGACCAACCCTAAACCTTTTAATGTGTGGTTGGGGGATGAACCATTGGTAGGGAGGCGCTCCCTGGAAACAACGACGAAGACCCCCCAAACCCTAAACCCTACCCTAAATACTAAGCCTCAACTGCTCTTTTAAGACAAGGACGCTGCAGTAGCTCCAAAGCACAAGAGCCCGAGGCACAGCTGTCCTGGCTGAATGGGGGGGGGAGGGTCTGGCCCTAAACCCTAAACCCTAAACCCAAAATCCTGAACCCTAAGCCCTAAACCCTAAACCCTACACCCTGTCATTCCAGGCCCAAAAGGTTCGACGGTCCTCCTGCAAAAGTGCGTCCGTCGCATCTTCATCCAACACGGCGATCGCGAGCCCAATCCTGAAAAGGCGTTTAGGGTTTAGGGTTTAGGGTTTAGGGTTTAGGGTTTAGGGTTGAGTTTCATGTTTCAGCTTTGGGCAAAGTATTTAGTGGGCTCTTGAAGTTAGGGTTATGTCTTTTTCTTGAAGAGTCTTTGAGAGTACTGTTTGTTTTCCATAAGGGCCCATCATGCGGGGGCAACCTCCTATGTATGGTTACAAGGTTAAGGGTACTTACGGGACTGAGGCCCCCGAGGTCTACAAAAGCACATCGCGCATCTTGAGATTAGGTTTGACCCTGCATCCCTTTTTCTCTCTCTCACTCTCTCACTCTCTGTCTCTCTCTATTACTCTCCTAATCGCTAGCACTCACTCGTTCCACCCACTTTACACTTCTCTCCCTCACCACCCCGACCCTACTATGATCCCCTTAAACCCTGTAAGGGAAAAGAACAACATTCCAGGGCCTGCTTAGCTAGGGACTCGACCAAAGGATATAGCATATAAGGCTTTGTGAGCCCAACTTTTGTGACTTCCTCTACTCTCGGGGAAGTCCACCCTAAAACCTTCAAACCCTGAGGTCCTAAACCCTACACCCTATAGACCCTAGACCCTAGACCCTAGACCCTAGACCCTAGACCCTAGACCCTAAACCCTAAACCCTAAACCCTAAACCCTAAACCCTAAACCCTAAACCCTAAACCCTAAACCCTAACCCATTCTGGCAAGGGAGCAAAAGAGATGCCACTGCGACTCGGGGATGCATGGCACGGTCCTCCAGCTGTACTCTGTGGGGAGTTTTGGGGGGTTTAGGGTTTAGGGTTTACGGTTAGGGTTTAGGGTCTAGGGTCTAGGGTCTAGGGTCTAGGGTTTAGGGTTTAGGGTTTAGGGTTTAGGGTTGAGGGTTTAGGGTTTAGGATTTAGGGTTTAGGGTTTAGGGTTGTGTGTTTTGCTTGAGCCCGATTTCCCCTCAAAATGGGCATGGCCTCTAGCTTCAACTGACAAGCTCTACATACGAAACCCTATCCTACGTCAAACAAAATGTCGTATCACGCGAAGTTTGCACCGCAGCCCAAGCCACACGGACAAGGACCTGCGGATGTTCAAAGATCAGGGTCAAGAGTTTGGGTTTGAGTGGGGTCCCTAAACCCCGATACCTTAAACCCTAAACCCTAAACGCTAAAGCCTAAACCCAAAACCCTAAACCCGAAAAGGGTCGGGGGTGTCATGCCCACGTCCTGGCACGCTGCGCAGAGGCCAACTGCGGCGCAGCGGCGAGGAAAATAACAAGCGCTTTTTGGGCTGAAGAGGCTCCGGCAGCGTCAGGTGTTTCAAATCAGAGTTTAGGGTTTAGGGTTTAGGGTTCAGGGTTCAGGGTCTGAGTCAGGTCGCCGCAATGCTATAAGGCTACTATAGCTCAAAAAGCCCGAATCCTTAGCTCTACGCAGCAAACCCTAGGCCCGGAAACCCTCACCCTGAAACCCTGCCATGGCACATCAGCAACCCCTGAAGAGTTAACCCCCGAACTTGGCAGAGTGTTAGGAACCCCAAAATCGGGGTCATGTAGCCCTAAACCCTAAAACCTAGAGCCTAAACCCCAAGCCCTAAACCCTAAACCCTAAACCCTAAACCCTAAACCCTAAACCCAAAACCCAATTCCTACTCGGGTATGTGAAGCCCATAAACCCAGTTGGGGTTCATTTCGGTCAAGGATGTCGTTCGTGAAGGATGTAGGTTGCCAGGCTGAGGGTCCATGACCTAGGATCTCCAGCTACAGGCTTAACAGAGAGGACACCCTAAACCCTAAACCCTAAACCCTAAACCCAAAACCCTGAAACCCTAAACACCCTCAGGGAAGCAGACGTTTGGTTTGGGGTTTGGGGTTTAGGGTTAGGGTTTAGGCTTTAGGGTTTCGGGTTTACGGTTTACGGTTAGGGTTTAGGGTTTTTAGGGTTTACGGTTTAGGGTCGGGTTCGCGGGGCCTCTCTGTGTCCTGGGTCTTCTGCACTATCTCCTCCACCAGCGACTGCGGCACCCCAGAAGCGTCCTGCTCTGCAGAAGCATGCTGCTTCAGAACGTCGGGTTTAGGGTTTAGGGTTTAGGGTTTGGGGTTGGGGTTTAGGGTTTAGGGTTTAGGCTTTGGGGGGTGAAGGGCCCCCAAGCACGCCAACCCTCAACCCCGAATCTTAGACCGCACGGTACCAATTGATGCTACCTTTCTGTCAACAGCTGGTTTAAGCGCGAGTCAGAAGAATGCGTGCCTACCCAAAAGGGAAACAGCCCAAGGCTTTGCTGCAATAAGCCGTGAACCCTGAACTCTTAACCCTGTACCTAAACATCTGTCTACGTGTGTATATGTGTAAATATCCCCGTAAGAATCCCTCTATAACGTCTTTTTTGCCCCGCGACCCAATACACCAATTCAACCAAGCCCCATCTTTTCTAACCCCCCCCCCCCCCCCCCCCCCGGCTCCCCCGCCTGACCGATTGGGCTACCTCTTGCAGGGCGCTTTTTGTGTTTGAGGTCTAAAGTTTGGCGTTTCGGGTTTGAGGTGCGTTGAAAACGGCTACACCGATGGATTAACTAGGGCTTCTGGGCATGAGATGGTTTAGGTTTGAAGGCTTAAGGGTTTGGGGGTTCCGGGATTTTACAGTTCTGACATTTCGGCTTTAGGGCCTGTTTAGGATTTAGGCATTTAGGGGCATTTCGGGCGTTAGGGGTGGACTATTCGATCCGACGTAGTGCATAATAGTATGAAGCTGGGTCTGCTTCGGTCCTTCTGAGGGCATGGAAGCCTCATGGCCATGGGTGAAATGATAGCAGTCACCCCTATAAATTCATTCGATGGATATGAAGAATCTGATGTGTTGGACATGAACCAACACTACCCCTAAACCCTAAACCCTAAACCCTAAACCCTAAACCCTAAACCCTAATAGACCCTGAAAAAGGGTAAGCCTCTGGCTTGGACGCGCCAAAGCCCCACACAAAGGCCCTTAGACTTTGAAGGGGCCGGGGTCACGAGACTCAGGGCGTTGAGGGTTTAGGGTGTAGGGTATAGGGTATAGGGTTTAGGGCTTCGGGTGTAGTGTTTCGGATTAGGTTTTAGGGTTTGTTCGGTTTGTGGTCCCTGAACCCTAAACCCTAAACCCTAAACCCTAAGCCCTAAACCCTAAACCCCCAAACCCCAAAGGGTCATGGTCTGGGTTGGCCTTGAACCACCCGCGAAAATCCACCGCACCGCTTCTCCAAGAACCAAGCACTTTTTCACAGGCAAACGTTCTCCCCTTTGGGGTTTAGGGTTTAGGGTTCAGGGTTTACTGTAGGGTTTAGGGTTTACTCATTATTACTTGCAAAATAGGGAGGCCCCAACAGCTCAGAATTCAACTGTTGGCTAAACTGTTGGGTCAGTAAGCCAAAAAAATCTTAAGTCCAATTTGGGGAGGTCTAGACATAAACAACATGCTATGGTCACACCCTCAACCCTGAACCCTAAACCCGAAGGACTCACTCTGAACCCACCGGCCTGGAACGCTCATGACATCATCGTCGGCGGCCACCAACTGAGCATCGTCTAGGGTTCAGGGTTTCAGGGTTTAGGGTTTTACTGGGATTTCGGGTTCAGGGTTTAAGGGTTTCGGGGTTAGAGGTCTATGGATTAGGGATTTAGGGGCTCATAGGGGCTCAGGGATTTAGGGTTTAGGGACTGGGGTCGCGCGATTCTCCACGATGGTCTAAGGCCGAATGTCTTCAGGCACCAAGATACCCGAAACTTGCCTTAAACGCCTCAACCTGAAAAATGGAGCCCTGATATCAATGCTTAATCCCTAAAACAGGGGGGGGGGGGGGCTGTAGTTGAGGAGACAATGGGGTTAGGGTTGAGGGTCTAGGGATGGTGCCCCTTGCTTGTGTGAACAAAGTACCTAGCCGATCCAACCGCCCAAAAAAGGAATGAGTACAACTGAAGTGCGTGCGAGGCTGGTGGTTCTGGTGGCTTGGACTCAGAAAAGGTTCCGGGTTTGGGGGTTTGCGGTTTCGCCGTGGAAGTTCGTGCCTTTCACGGGGGCCCTTTTTGGTACCCGGTCCCCCAAATATAGGACCCCGTATTGTGCTTGTAAAGGAAGATGCACGGTCCCGTACAAATGGCATCTTTCCTTTTTTTAAGGCATCTGAAGAATGGGCCCTTGGCTGTGACAGAGTGTGTAAAGGGTGTTTTTTAAGGGTTCCCCAATAGAGGGGCCCAGAGCAAGGACAGGTGGACCAACCCTCAGAGTCAAAGGGACATCAAACCCTAAACCCTAAACCCTAAACCCTAAACCCTAAACCCTAAACCCTAAACCCTAAACCCAGGCTGCTAGTTCAAGGAATCCCCCATCTGGGCAGAGCTCTAAGCCTTAGACCCCGGGCCCGGCTTCTTCCTTGCAGATGTGGTGAGTACTAAGGCCAATGTAGTGGATTCGCTGCCGAGACATTGGAACCCCGCATTGGGGCGGGCAAACAACTCGCCAGCGAACCACGAACCCTTCGTTCGTTGCTCTACTCTCTCCCCCATCCTCACCATTGCCCGTGCTATCTCCTGGCTGGTCCATGTTGCCACTACACGTTCTCGCCATAGAATACCTTGGGCTTTGTTTCTGCCAAGTACGCCATGAACATCTTGAAGGCCTCACCAGTAAGGCCTTCTCCGCTTTCGATGCATGTCATTTTACGCTTCGGGTTCCGACGTCTGGGCCGTGGATCACGTTACTGTCGGTCGGGCCTCATCTTCCCCAAATCAGGGTCTCTTTCAAAAGGGCAGGTGGTTGCGGGTAGCAAGTCTGCTGGGTTTTTGGAATTTCCTAGGGATTTCGGGTAAAGGTTCGCCTCAACTCCTCATACCCCTTTCAAAACCTTAACAAGAACCCTACACCCTAAACCCCCAACCCTTGCACCCTCAAGCCCCTAAACCGCAACCTATACTATTTCGCCCCCCTTCGACCCCTGACCCCCCCCCCCCCCCCCCCCCCCCCCCCCCCCCTGACCCTAAACCCTAAACTCTATACAAACCCTAAACCCTAAACCCTAAAGCCTAAAGCCTAAAGCCTAATCCCTAAACCCTAAACCCTAAACCCTAAAGCCTAAAGCCTAATCCCTAAACCCTAAACCCTAAACCCTAAACCCTAAACCCTAAGCCTAAAGCCTAAACCCTAAACCCTAACCCCTAACCCCTAACCCCTAAATCCCTAAACCCCTAGGCCCCCGTCCCCCCGTCCCAGAACCTCCTCAATTGCGATTTCGGACTGCACCGACAGTCGCTGCTCACCCTCCGCCGGTGCCTCTCGAACTTCACTTCGCCGGCTGTTTGGGGAGGGGTTTAGGGTTTAGGGTTTAGGGTTTAGGGTTTAGGGTTTAGGGTTTAGGGTTTAGGGTTTAGGGTTTAGGGATTGGGGTTTAGGGCCAGTTTGCCAGTTTGGGGAATAGGGTTTAGGGCAAGTTAAGGAATTTAGGGAGCCAGGGAAGCGGGGGGAAGGGGCTCCAGAAAGAAAGGCGAGGCTAGGGTTTGTGGTTCAGGGTTCAGGGTCTGGGGCTTGGGGCTTGGGGCTTGGGGCTTGGGGCTTGGGGCTTGGGGCTTGGGGCTTGGGGCTTGGGGCTTGGGGCTTGGGGCTTGGGGTTTGGGGTTGGTTTTTGGTTTTTGGGGTTTGGGGTTTGGGGTAGAGTTTGGGGCTTAGGGAATCGCCACAATCCATGGATCTCCAGACAAGCACTCCCTAGTAGGATGCCAAAGT